CATTTAAGTAGAGGAGAGATAACGACATGTGATGTACTTTTATTTTATTGTTCCCACACATTTTATTAGTTCTATGAGAATTTCAAAGAATGTGTTTTTATCAAATTACCCTTCACTCCTAGAAGTCCTTGTAGTCCATTCCTTCATGAAATACCCGATATTTGGTTCTCAGATTTTTGTTTTTCATTTTTGTTTTTTTTTTACCCAAATATAAAATTTGCACTGAACTGAACATAAACTCTTGAATGTGGGGCCATCCATGGAGAGAGGGTGACATACCTGAGGCCACACCCTTGAAAAACACTGACCTAGCACCTATCAATTACCAGTAGCTCCTGACCAAGGGGTGGAATTTGTGCCCAGCTCCCACTCTCCATTCTGGGATTAAAGGCGTTTCCACCACACCCAGCTTGTTGGTTTTTGGATGTTACCCATGGTGAATGGATTAATAAATCACAAAGTGGTTTAAGTTACATTTCCCTTATGACTACTGATGTACAACATTTTAAAAGATGATCTTAGACATTTCTGTTCTGTCCTTGGAGAACTGCCTTTCCAGCTCCTTGCACCACATACAATGAGTTGTATATTTTTTGAAGCTTGTTGTTTGGTTTTTGGATGTTACCTATGATGAATGGATTAATTAATCACAAAGTGGTTTAAATTACATTTTATTATGAGTACTGATGTACAACATTTTAAAAGATGATCTTAGACATTTCTGTTCTGTCCTTGGAGAACTGCCTTTCCAGCTCCTTGCACCACATACAATGAGTTGTATATTTTTTGATGCTTAGTATTTTGAATTTATCATACATTCTAGGTACTAATCCTTTCTTACCACCAGAATTTGATGACAAGATGCAGCTGCTGAAGACATACACCTGTGAGCTATAGAACAAAAAAGGAGAACTCAAGTTGGTACTGACTTCAAAGCTTCATCTCTACTGACTAGTGTTCATAGTGCTGGAAGGTACTTTGTATGCTACCACAGAGGAACTGATCATCATCGTTACCCAGATGTGAATCCTGGGAGCTGTAACAAAACTGTCAGTAATAAAGTTTCTGTATGGAGCACATGATGAATCATACAAAGATCCACAAGTGACTAATGTGCAGAAAATTGGACTACATAGTACCTATCCCTAAGTAGAGACTTATATGAAAATTATGCCTCTGAAGCTACAGGGATGATTGCAGAAAAGCAAACAGAAATATTTTAAGAGTCACATATGGTGAAATAACACAAAGAAATAGAGATTTATAGATAATTGGGAAGTAACTTATGAAATTACAGCATAGGTCACAGCATGTACAATTCCTCCATAAGTTCAAGACAGGCAAAATCTAAGCATAGACATGTAGAGGTTGGTAAAAAACACCAATGATACTTGAGGAACTATTTGCCACGACAGGCTTCAGGGATAGGAGAAAGTTTCTCTTTCATGGATGGAATACCTTCATAAGTTGACTGAGATCCAGTGAATGTCTGCATATATATATATGTATATGTGATTTGCACAGTGGCTGTAAATGCTATTTTTTTCCTCAGTTGGTCTTAAATGACTGTTAGTCTCTTGTGTCTTAGAAAGAAGAATGTGAACACTTTATTGGGAAAAAAATTTATAACTCTTTCCTTTTATAGTACTTTAGAGAATGAACATGGGAAATTGTTTAAGCTGGTAATTTTAGCTATTAGTCCTGGCTGAGGAATTCCCAGAGACACTTACCCGTCTGTCTTCAAGTCAAAATTATTCTGTCCTCTCCAGCACATACTTCTTTTGTTCCATGGCATTTCTTCATCTGAAGTCGTTAAGGCCACCTGCTCTTGACGTATTGTCATATTTACCATATGTGGCTAATGAGTTTCTTATACTGTTTGCTGGCTTCAATTTCTGTCCCCTTAAATTTTAGAAAGTTGCTGTGCACACCTTTAATCCCAGCACTCGGGCCACAGAGGCAGGTAAATCTCTGTAAGTTCAAGGCTAGCCTGATGAACATAGCAAGTTCTAGGCCAACCAGGGCTATGTAGTGAGACCCTATCTAAAATTTTTTAAATACTTTATTGATTATTTTTATGTGTACGAATGTATTGCCTGCATGTATGTGAGTGCACACGTGTCATGCAATGCTGTGGAGGTCAGAAGAGAGCTTTGAAATCCCCTGTAACTGAGGTTAAGGATGGTTCGTAGCCACTATATGGGTGCTGGGAGTTGAACCCAGGTCCTCTGCAAGAGCAGTCTGTGCTCTTAACTCCTAAGCCATCCCTCCAGCCCCATGCTTAGATTTTTTTATTGATTTTGTGTGTGTTTGTGTGTGTGTGTGTGCATTTCATACAGAATATCCAAAATAATCTTATTCATTTTTATACCCACGATCCAAATGGCACCTTACTATAGACCCTGCCCAAACTGGAGCCCATATACTCTGTCATCCCTGTTACGGCCCACTGTGTTGTCAGTGTCCTCAGCAAGTCCCCAGTGCAAATCCATCCACTGATTTTAATCAGCCTATCTAGAGTCCCTTGTTTTAGGAAGATCAGCTCCAGCATCTGATCTAGGAGCAACCAGTTGCTAACAGTCCTTTAGATTGGAGTCTGTTCTTCATTTTCCTAGTTCTATGCTGGGTTACTGTCTGTTCAGTGGAGTACTTGTGTATACTGACATCTTTGCCATAGAATCATTTAAGCAGGTTGCTAGGAGCTCCTAGGATCCTGTTTCCATAGGGTCATGCCCTTTCTTCCTGGCTCTTACAATCTCTCTGCGCCCTCCTCCACGATGGTCCCTGAACCTTGGGTGGATGACATTTAATAAAGGGGTGCTCTCCAAGGACCATTATGTAGCAGGCTCTTGATCTCTACACTTTGGCCATTTGTAACTGTCTCTGCTCATGGCCCTTGCTGCATGAAGGAGAACTGATTCCTTAGTGTCCTCATCTTTATCCCTATTCTATGTTCCATGAGCATTAGGTGTACAGGTTGCATTGCAGAGGGGTCCCTTAGGCCTCGGCAATTAATAGACAATGTCTATGTGTGATCAGTTGTGGGTACTTGGTATTAGTCTCTGACTGCTGCAAAATGAGCTTCTTTGATGAGTGGTGACTGGAATATTTGCCTGTAAATATAAGGATACATACTTTGCACATAGTAAGAAATCACATTAGTGATGTGAAGGTTTTGTGGTTCTCTCTAAGATCTATGATCATGCTGGCCATGTGCATTAGGTTATGATACAGTACCACACTTGAGTTTCCTCTTTTTGGGTAGGCATTTAGTCAAATCAAGTAGTTGTTAATTGCCTCCAAGGAAAAAGTAACATTACTGGGCCAATGGAATATGCTGTGGTGGCTGTTTATATGGTTATTCGGTCTTGAACCTGCTGCCAGGACATCCATTGATGTTTTCCCTTGGCACTTTTATAGCATTGTTCAAAGGAATGAGAGCTCGCCTTCAGGGGAAATGGATTCCAGGTCAGTTGCATCTCTATTTCTCCAAATCCTGTTTTTGATGAATGTTCTGTCTTCAGGAATAGGGTCTTATCTTCAAGTTCTGGGAGGCCATCAAGGGCTGTGACAAAAGCCTAAGAAATGTTGGGAGTCTATTGGACCACCTTGGCTAACAACTCAATGGAAAATATCTCCTGTCTGGCACGTTTCCTGTTATGTAGCCTTTAACTATAAACATGGATTCTTAAAGAAATATACTGATCAATTTAATCTTTGGTTCTACATTCCTTTTAGGTGTTTAAGACCATAGAATTGAAACTGGATACTGGTTCAAATCCATCTGGTGGCATATCCATGGACTCCCTGAACAAGAGGACAGGTGAGTCACTACAGTTACAGGACATTTTGAGAGATGCTCCATAGTCCCCTGGAACTTAGTTGACCATGGAGGGAAAGAAGAAAAAACTGTCTTTTACATCCCTTGGCCAGGTTAGCATATGACTCAAAGTGTGGCTGTTCAACATCCAAGAAGGTTAGTTCCATCAGTCTGATACTTTATATTACTGTGTGCCATGTAGATAAATCTTGGGCAAAGACCAATTGTCCTCAGATAAACCTTACCTAGGCATATATTTCTTGATCTGCTATATATAATTTGTCAGTAGGTTGTTGGAG